GATGACGTGGAGAGATGGAGTGACTGGGGACTTGAGATCCAGAGAGGGAAAGGAGCTGTGTGCTGATGACCGGGGCGGGGGTGGGGAATGCTTGCAGGGTATACCCTTTGGTTGGTTGATGATGCTTTGAGGGGACTGTAACCATGGCAATGAGACAATATACAATAGAATGAATGTAAAGCTAATGTTCTCCCATGTAAACTATCACATAATTCACACTAAAACATTTATTAAAAAATAAAAATAAAAATAAACTCTGTTTAACCTGAACATCCTTGGTCAGCAAAGACAATGACCCTCTTCTGAATGGCCAGGGCCCTCCTACATCCCAACAACAATTTCCCAAAAGACTGAAATGAAGCACAGATCAAAAATCACACAGCAAAATAATGCCAAAGCCGACTCAAACGCACAGCCTAGGCACACAACCCAACTGCTCCCCTAACGGGTCTAAGAGTAATGGATTAGCTTTTCTAATTGAAACTATTCTATCATCAAGTACATCTAGTTTCTTTCTTAGTCCATTAGTTACTCAGTGACATTTATCTGGTACCCACTGTGAGCAGAACAGAAGTCCTGGCATAGTGACTTACCTGTCGAGTTACTAACCACAAGGGCAGCAGTTCAAGTCCACCAGCACCTCCATGGGAGAAAAAGGTTTTCTGCTTCCATAAAGATGTATAGCCCTGGAAACCCTACATAAGGTCATTATGAGTTGAAATTGACTCAGTGGCAGTGGATTTGGTTTGGTTTGAGTATAGAATGTCAAATGGAGAAAAAACACACACACAAAAAAATTCCTATTGCTCCTATAGGAACTCTGGGTGTTCTAAATCCTCCGAGTAATTTTCATTTGCACCAGTTTGCTTCTCCACTTCTTCAGAAGCACACTAGGGCTTCTGATTAGAGTTAACAGTTTCAAAATTCCCTCTTGATTTTTATCCAGTTTTTCCCAAAGTACATGTTTTGAGGTTATATTTAATTTATGCTAAAAGCAGAACCAAGAATTCTCCTTGAGAACAGAATTTTTACCTGTAACTTAAGTCCTACTTTAAAATTCAGTTTTTGATCTAAATATTAAATGGTCCTAGCCTTGAGAAAAGAGATTTCAGTATCCCTGAGATGCAAACACCCTCTTCATGGTCAACCCTGCCACCAACTCTTTCCTAGTTTGGATAAAAAAGACTGTTGGAGGGAGTAGGAAACTTGAAACTTAATAGATTCTTAGTAACCATAATTCAATAATTATGGAAAGTTGTTGAATCTATTCAAGATGTCAAGAGGGAATCTGCAAGAATCCTTGGTGATGAAACAAGAATTAACCTAATTGAAACTTAGGGCAAGGACTGGGAAAAGTAAACACATATCCATTTGTGATTCATCCACCCTGACCACTAGGATTGACCTTTTTTCTTCTTATCACGATCTGAGCATCCTCTCCATTAATCCTCTGAAAACAGAAAAACTTCCAAACAATCTGAGCAGGGAAAAAATTCCAGCATCTGTCATTCATGTTTCCATCTGCATGGAAATTTTATATTCAGGCAAAAGGTCAAAAAACGAATGTCTGTTTGGGAGAAATAAAAATTAAAATAGGGGGAGGCTTAAAAAATTCCCATTCAAGCAGGTGAAAAGTTGAAACCACTTTTGTTGCTAACTTTACTTATTAATTGTGCCCAAAGCTTCCAGAATTTGACTACACAAGGTTTCAACTGTGTGGATCATGACAAGCTATGGATAACATTATGAAGTATGAATATTCCATAACACTTAATTGTGCTCATGAGGAATCTGCACATGGACCAAGAGGCAGTTGTTCAAACAGAACATGGGAACACTGAATGGTTTAAAATTAAGAAAGGTGTGCGACAGGGTTGTATTCTTACACCATAATTATACAACCTGTATGCTGAGCAAATAATCTAAGAAGCTGGGTTCTATGAAGAAAAACATGGTATCAGGTCTGGAGGAAGACTCATTAAC